GAAACCATTCCCCTTGCAAACAGGAACCAGACAGGGATGCCCTTTATCACCATTTCTGTTCAACATTGTATTGAAAGTCCTAGCCAGGGCAATAAGGCAAGAAAGGGAAATCAAAGGCATCCATATTGGTAAGGAAGAACTCAAACTATCCCTATTTGTTGATGATATGATGCTATACCTAGAAAACCCAAGAGACTCGGTCAAAAAACTACTGCAACTAATTGAGAGTTTTAGCACTGTGGAAGGATACAAGATCAACATCCAAAAATCAGTTGGATTCCTCTATACCAGCAGAGAGATCGCTGAAAAAGAAATAAGGAAATCCATACAGTTTACAATAGCTACCAAAAAAGTAAAATACTTGGGAATAAATCTTACCAGGGACACAAAAGACCTATACAACTACAAAACACTAGTTTAAGAAACCATAAGAGATCTACATAAATGGAAGAACATACCATGCTTGTGGATAGGAAGGTTGAACGTTGTGAAAATGTCAGTTCTACCCAAAGTAATGTATACATTCAATGCAATCCCAATCCATATCCCATCAACATTCTGTAAGGATATGGAAAAACTAATCACTAACTTTATGTGGAAAGGAAAGAGACCTCTCAGATAAGCAAAGCACTATTGAAGAAGAAGAACAAAGTAGGTCTCACACTCCCAGATCTTAAAACCTACTACCCAGCCACAGTAGTCAAAACTGCCTTGTATTGGTACAACATCAAACACGTAAACCAATGGAATAGAATTGAGAACTCAGAAATAGACCTATGGTCAGCTGATCTTTCACAAAGGGCTGAAATCCATTAAACAGGGAAGAGATTGTCTGTTTAACAAATGGTGCTGGCAAAACTGGATATCCATTTGCATAAAAATGAAACAACATTTGTACCTCACACCATACAGAAAAACTAACTCCAGATGGGTCGAAGACTTAAATGTGAAACCTAAAACTATAAAGTTCCTCAAGGAAAAACTAAGGGCAAATTTAGGGGCTCTAATATATGACGTTGTTATGTGCCGTCGAGTCGGCCCCGACTCATAGCGACCCCTCCTTCGGTTTCCGAGGCAGTATCACTACGGAAGTAGGATTGCCCAACCTTC